AACTCGACCTTGCAAAGCAAAACAGAGCGTTCAGGGACTGAGTCTTTATATATTGGGGTCTCACTAGTGGTTCGTTCTCTTGAAGATCTGAAGGTGGAGGAAAAACGCGGAGCAAACGGTTCACTGGTTCCTAGGAAGGAAATATTGCACTGAACCTACGAGATGCTACATGTGCCATTTCAGTGCAACCATGGAAAGAGACAAACCGGAGGGCAGAATGCCCACTGACAAGCCGGCTTTCAGCACATTAGACATCGCACACCTGGGTTGTGAGCAACGAGGAGACACTGAAAGCTTTTGAAGATGCCAACTATACGGTCGACACTGAGCTGCTAAGGCTGCTAAGGTCATGCCACAACGCAATGGTTGAAGGAATCCAAGAGGCCAACCCTTACGACGCTTTGTTTCAGGAGTTGTTGTATGAATGCTCGATCGAGGAAAATCTCTACAAGAAAATGCAACAGTTGGAGGACCAGCTCGCATCCGCATGAGGCAAGTCAGGGAGCCATGAGATAACTGAAAGTGCTGGAAGTCATCAAACTTCATTAGGCTTCATTCCGAAAGCAGGCCCTAGCCCCACTCAGTTCAAAGATGTTTAAACTGAGGCACGAGAGAAGATGTGAACAAGTTCTGAACAAGTCTGTCCTGTTCCCTTTCTCCAGCTTGATTTCCCTCATTCCTGATTTGGCGAGGTTTGTTTTCCAAGCCTATGGACTCGGCCGCCGAATGCTTTCCAAGATGTTTTCAGGCTCATAGGACCCCATAGGACCGGTGAGCCTCCAGAGTTTGAGCGTTACTGCAAAATGCTGCAAACGCAGCTGGCAGATTTTCAGCAATCGCCCAAAACCGTCAAAAAAGGATTCGATGCCCTACCTCCACCAAACATGAAAGTGGAGGAAAGGAGTCTTCCAAGTCTTCCAAGGGCTATTGTTTACTTCCATGCTTGATGAACTCCAAGATTGAAGGCGCAACACTTCAAAGCTTGGTCCTTGCTGCAATGCTTCCACTGCTATTCTTGGATTCGCCCCTTTGCAGTTCCAAGGTGCTTGAGGGATGTTCAGTGGGCAGCCTATCACGGAATTGTTCCTGCCTCATGATTCTTCCTTTGCTCAATCGCTTGTGGCAGTCAGTCGGGGTCCATAACAAGTTGCAGTTTTGATTGGTTGTTGGCACCAACGTTGCAGGCGGAGAACCCTGAGTGGTATCCCGAGCTGCGCACGGGGGACCCTTTGAAGGACAGAAATTCAAGTATTGAAAAGGTGCTGGTTTGGCGCAGCATGTGACAGAGGATCAGCAGTGTCAATCACAGGATTTTGCCATGGTGCTCTACATGCATGGGCAGCCTGGATGCCCAAGACCATGCGCTGTGCCCAGTGCTACGCATTCTTCCACCCGTCATTTGGTGCTCAACTGTCGAGAAGGTATTGTGAGAAAGATGCTCACGATGCTCGCACTCCTGTTACTCACAACGGGTTGCTTTGCCCAGGCGACGAGGGAGAGCCTGTTGGCCACTTTGTTTGGGCCCCAGAGAATGCACCTGGAGCAGACAATTTTGTTTTCAGTTTGTGCACTTCTATATAGTGCTATAGTACGGTAGCTTATTTTAGAAGAAATCGGTTGTGAATATATTCTATTTGCCCGTTTGAAAAAATCCACAAAAATTGCCAGATGAATAGAAGATCATGACAGTCCGCAACGGGGCGGAGACGGGGTTTGGCCGCGGAGCCAGATGAATAGAAGATCAAATTTGGGGCAGTCCGCAACGGAGCGGAGAGAGATTTGGACGTGGAGCCAGATGAATAGAAGACTGAATTTTCCCCCCACCCACCCGCACCCCCCACCCACCCGCACCCACCCACCCACCCACCCACCGCCCACCCACCCACACCATTAAAGGGGGAGAGATGGCCGCAGTGCCGACTGTGGTGACATTTTGTCAGCAGTATATAAGCTGATGCAGATTTGTCAGCCTTAGTTGAGCTGATGGCTGTTTCAGTTCCATCCTCTGGGCTAAAAAGAGCGTTATATATATATATAGCTGCTTGGCAGTGGGAGACGGGAGACGAGTTGGTTTGTTGACTATTGCGTTCTTGTGCCTGTAGGTTGTTGTTTAGTTCTCATTTCACAAAATTGGGAGAGTCTAGGTCGCCCGCCCGTTGTTTGGTTTTAGCAGCCGTTTTGTGTCAGGAAAATGGAAACATGATGTATAAAGATCTTTCAGGCTCTAGGATTTTCTTATACACATATCTATTTATATTTGTACATGTTTTCCAAGACACACTTTTCCACCCACCGGCCAAAGACTATTGTGGCAAAGACTGGCAGCCAAAGTGACGAAGGCGCGTTGGTGTGTAGCGTGAGAGGAGAGGAGAAACAAAAGGGGTGCCTGTGGGGTATATCTTCTATTTAGTGAGACTATACCTCAAGCCCCAGGTGCCCGGGCCAACAAAGACTCCGAGACATCCAAAGAAGATTCGGTCTACATTTGTCAGGCACCGCATCAAAAGAAACCGTTCAAACCTTTGTGTAGACAAGGCGGGGTTCGCAGTACATGCAGTGGAGCTGAATATAGAAAGATGTTGTGAGAGTTTTTGATTGCCAGTGTGTAAATGAAAAGACGATATATGGATTAGTTTGTAATATCTTCTATATGGGAAGTGTTTTGGCAGCCTCGTGAACCTCTCACATGTTCCAGGAAATTGGAAAGACTACAGCTGTGGCAGCACATCCATTAATGTCGGCTCTGAGATGTCGGCTTTGCTGGAAGTGCTCCATGGCCTGTGGCAATATCACCTGGATGTCGAAGGAGGTGATGGTTTAGTTGGTGATGTCACCATTGCAGCTTACGTTGAAGAGCTGGCCATGAGGATCACGACGCAGGTTTCATGAGATGGGCCTGAGAAGTTCCATCCAATGAGTGCTTCATTTTGTTGCACTCAGGATCATGCTTCATGAGTCTCCGTTTCACCTCGTAGTTATTTAGGAGCAGGGTCTCCCATGAATGGCAGATCTTTTGAAATTTTGTGAGCTTTCCACTAGTCCGGTAGCTTGTTATAGAAAGATATCAGACAGAGTTTCCAAATATATAGAAGATTTGAGTTTTGAGTTTACCCCTCAAATAGAAGAAACTCACTAAGGAACCAGGGTATGCAAAGGCAAATAGTGTATTGGGAAACCCTGCGTTAGCAGATGCGGCCACGGTCCCTGCAGAAAGAGCAGGATTCAAGGCTACTGAGGGTTTGGCCTTGGACTGTCCAATTGGACGCGTCCAATTGGACGATGTGGCAAAAGCGGTGCTCGAGTGCTGGTTTCTCTACTTTGAAGGTTCATTGCTATTAGGTTGCAGGCCATCGCTAGTAACCGCTAGTAGGTTGGAGGCTGTCGCTATTAGCTTGGAGGCCATCGCAACTGGATTGCTATCAGCTTGGAGGCCATCGGAAGTAGGTTGAATGCCATCACACTTGTTCCCGCAGGCGACCTTGCTGGCCATTGAGCTTATTTGTGGCGGCAGAAAAGGGCGACAACGTTATTTTTTTGTTTAGGTGTTTGATCATGGCTTATATGTGACAATTTTTGTCATTTTCTTCTATTTGTTTAGGTGTTTGATCATGGTTTATCTGTGACAATTTTTTGTCATTTTCTTCTATCTGTTTAGGTGTTTGATGGTCTCTGCATACCCCGGTTCCTTAGTGAGTTTCTTCTATTTGAGGGGTTAACTCAAAATTTGGCTAAAACTCGAATCTTCTATTTGGAAATATTGTTTGATATCTTCTATAATAAGGTACCGCAATATAAAAAATATGATCCTTTGCTTCCATGATTGTCTCATGGAGCCAGTGCCAGGAGTCTAAATAAGACCTTTCAATAGCAGCAAGTTAGGGCCCCAACATTAGATACCTGCAAACGATGGACGATGGGCCAGGGCTGCATGTCCACCAAAGCCATGTTGAAAGCCAGGTGCCCTACAAACCTGAAGCAGATCCAGAAGATGAAGATGAGGTGGAAGTCCGCGGCCCGAGTTGGCTCGGCTCGTGTCGACATGAAAAGCCACAGCTTGGTTTTTGGTTGCCAGTGACTGACTTCTTTTATGTTTCTGTAAATTTTGATCCCTAAGAATGTGTACGAATAGTACAGAATGACTGCAAAAAAAGGTGTTTAGATTTAGATGCTTTAGTAACCAAACGGGCACAGACAGCAGCTGGTAGTTTGCACTGTGTTGTGATCTGTTGTGATACTGATATTGGTCTTGTCAACTGTCCGGCTTCCTTTTTGGATGCTTCTGCGTTCTGGTTCTTCTGCTTTCAGCTCCTTTGCTGTCCCTTTCATGGCACCTAGCTGCATAAGGAGTCGAAAGCCAAGAGACGCCACAAGCTTGGAACATCACAAAGATTGTGCCGGTGTCGTCGCATATGTTGACTGTCCACAGCTACACGCTTTCTCGCTCAAGGCCAGCAGAAAGCAGAAGAGCAAGAACTTGAAGATGCCAGAGAGGCTGAGCTTGAGGATGATGAGGCAAGACTTCCCTGACGATTGCCAACGACCTTTCTTAAGTCATCTTAAGTCCAGCAAACCTTCATACTCTGATATATTTACTCAGATGGCTTGATGGCTTGACTCAGTGATTGAACTCTGCAGGAAGACTCAACAAAAAGTGAGCCCAGACAGATCAAGAGGCTGTCGCTTGGCGGCATGGCATGCTCAAAAGTTGATCGCAATGCGACACAATGCGGTAAACTGTTTCTGCCGTACCCAGCCTTTAGCCCGTTTGTCCTTATTTGCCCGTTCATGTTTGATTTGGCCAGCAGCCCACTCGCTCCTCCCACACGCTTACGCCTGTTGTGATGTATACACTCACACACTGATGCTGAGTCAAGCCAGTAGTTGGCGTCACTTCAGGTCAATGTAGGAGAAACGGCTTTGGTTTACCCTCAAAGTCTGAAATGGCTCAACAGTGCTGAGGAAGAAGCTGCTGCGAACGCAAGAAAATCGCCAGCCTCTTATCACTTTTCGGCCTAGATTCTGGAAGGTCAGCGTGGATGCAGAATGAATCACTGTGACCTGAACATTGGCAGATATATAGATCACAAATCAAGAATGGTTCTGTTCTGTTTGACTGGTACGTTAGCCCTAGAACTTTGATACTGTTCTGCTCTGTGGTTCAGTTCTCTTTGCAATGGGTTGCTTAGGAAAAGTGATTGAGAAGGTCCAGTCAGAGGACGATGACTGCGCAAGGCCGCTAGATGCTTTTTATGCGAAGGGTGATGCTTTGGGCAAGACCCAGATGACCTCGTAAGTCAAAAAAGCTGTAATTCTTAATCAATACAGTACAGTTGTGAGTCATGCATGCTCAGTCTCTCTCGGGCCCCCGCCAAAGTCTAGTGTCAACATGAGTATATAGGCTGCCTGGGCATGTTTATCATGGTTTATCCCTCATTGGTTTGGTGTCCGTCAGGCCTTCCGGCACTCCCACACACACACACACACCGGTTTTCCGGTCCTTGGGCCCTCGGGTGCTGTGATCCTCCACTTTGCTACGGTGCTTAAGGATTGAAATATCATGACATATCAAGTTCATAGTGAAGCTCAACAAGTCTCATTCCAGATTCTTCATAATACTGGCATGGCTCGCTCCTGAGGTAAGCGCTTTGCCCTCAACCACTATTTTTGTTTGCATATTGATAGTGTAATCCACCTTGTACGGTACCAAGGATGTACTGCTGTACATTCTCGTGCAAAAGCTTGGCTCACTCTTTTTCTCTCACACTTTGCTCAAAGGCCGGGCGTCCTTTATGCTCCAGCAATCACTGGCTCGTGACACTCTCAGCCCTGCTCTATTGAGTTGTGGTCAGACTGGCTTGTCCCTGACCGGCAGGCCGGTAGACATATATATATATATATGTGTACTCTATCAACGTCAGCTGATCAAGAGTGTGGTGATTTTTATTGGTTTTTATTTGTGTCCTTTGCAGCTTGCACCAGTCCCATGCTATCAGGTTTGAAAGAAGTGTCAAATCATCCAATCATTGCCGAGCACATTGCAGGCGTTGAATCACCAAAAGATATCCAAGGTTTGCACAGAATCATTTGGAGCAGAATCATTTGGAGCACCTAGTTATGTCAGAAGAGGGGCCAACTCTCATCAGCATGGACTCGCCTTGTACATACAACCATAAGCTTTGTCACAGGAACATTGATGGTGCTGGACACTTTCTGTTCTATGCTTCTTTGGGCCTTTGTTTGCAATCCCAGCCGGTCCTGGGCAGCTATGTTTTTCAGATGTCATAAACAATTGCCATGCTATGCCATGCCAACTGATGGGATTGATTCAACAGAATGGTCGTACATCCACAAGATTTGCAAGCTATGCTAGTGCTGGTGTTTGCAAGACGGATAGAGGCCTGCGTGGTCCCTTTGAGAGTTTAAACAGGAAAAACACATGTGTGATTCATTTTCAACAAGGTCACTGCGCCATGTATGGTGCGGCGAAGCAGGAGGCATGGGCAGACTAACAGTGCGCACTTATATATATATATATATGTCATTTACATAAGCATGTCATGTTTTTTGAAGATGGCATTGGCAGACAGCGATCCATGTTTGTTTAGCACAATTTAGCTAGCTTTTGTTGGTGCACACTATATCCCGTACATGGTTTTGAAACCAGCCCGCCTCGTGACTAGAATAGAATGGCTCCTGCAATGCTCATTGTGACAAGTGAAGCCATAAGGAGGCATGCTCCTGGCATCGCTACTAGGGGCTCCTGGCCTTCCTACTAGGAACAAGAAGCTACTAGGGGCTCCTGGCATCGCTACTAGGAGCAGGGACGCTACTAGGGGCTCCTGGCCCTACTACTAGGAACAAGAAGCTACTAGGGGCTCCTGGCCTTACTACTAGGAACAAAAAGCTACTAGGGGCTCCTGGCATCGCTACTAGGAGCAGGGACGCTACTAGGGACTAGGGGCACCTGGCATTGCTACTAGGAGCAGGGACGCTACTAGGGGCTCCTGACCTTACTACTAGGGACAAGAAGCTACTAGGGGCTACTGGCATCGCCACGAGCAGGGACGCTACTAGGGGCTCCTGGCCTTACTACTACGAACTGAAGGTACTAGGGGCTCCTGGCATCGCTACTAGGAGCAGGGACGCTACTAAGGGATCCTGGCCCTACTGCTAGGAACAAGAAGCTACTAGGGGCTCCTGGCATCGCTACTAGGAATAAGGACGCTACTAGGGGCTCCTGGCACCGCTACTAGGAGGCATGCTAGCTACATCAATTTCCACTTGATTTACTCGTGAAGGTGCCGGATGTGAACAACCTGGCTGGTCCTGTGAACTGCCGCCATCCTAATTGTTGCCTCAAGCCCCAAGCTGCTAACCTCAAGCGCCATCATCGACAATTCTGAATAATTACTGTATGAAGTAATTTTTGTTGGACTTCTAACTTGCAAACCATGGAAGGGATGAACTTCGAGGTGGCAAGCCCTGGGAGGAGGTCAACCAGGATTCGGGATTTTGTTGCCTTCGCCCTGAACAAAATTACAGTGATACAGGTGTCATTGATGTAATCATCAACCCTTGGTTTTCTTCATGTTGCCAACAAGATGCTATATACATGTTACGGTACACTTGATGTTTTCCCAATAATTATTCCTCCAAGTGTGAAGTCAAGAATTCTTACAAACCATTAGTTGTGTCATGTTATGTCGTTGCTTCCTGCTGAATGTGCACAACATGTCCGGGCTTGGCTAGATTTCAGGAGACTTCCAAGTTGGTGCAGGCTATTGACAGTGGGTGCTTTTCGCTTGGACCTCGTTCTCGGCCCTCTTCTATGGGCAAAAGCAAGTGGTCCTCATTGCTACCACAGAGCCCAACAACCTGCGATTCCTGCAGCTGTCCAAAACCTCATCACAGACCGAGCAAGGATGAATATTGGCTTTGGACCGGCTGTGGCTGAGCCCATGCCATTCCACACCAAGGTTCTGGAGTGTGACAGTGTACTGTAAGTGAATCAGTGCTCGGTTCGGATGAGCCAGAAAATCCGGAGCTTGTTGCAGGACGCAATCGAATGCCAGAGGCAGCTGCGAAGCTACAGCATTGCAGCGCAGCATTTTGTGTTGGACACTTAGCAGTTGAACAAGGAACACCTACACTCAAAGTGCATGATCACATGCTTGAGCGGCAATTCCCGCTGCAGTTGTCGCTTCAGTTGCACCATGACATGAGCAGGATGCACCTTGATGGGCCAAGGTTCCACCCAATCGATGGCACTTGCCGGATTGTGGCACCAGGGGTTGCTGGCTCAATGCAAATTTGGGATTGAGCAGATGGACCAATCACTGAATGGAAGCCCGATGAATGAAGTCCATTCGTCTCAGTTGTTTGCGTTGTGTTGTTTGTTTGTGTTTTGAGCTACAGTTGGGAATGCATTGACTTGCCAGGCTCCTCAAATGAGTCTCCCCGATGTTGTATCAGGGCCAATGCCTCACAAAAGGTTGGACTGCTGCAACTCAAGCAGCCAAGGTTTGCAACATGTGTTACTAGTTATATAGTAGCTTCTTGTTACTAGTAGTAAGGCCAGGAGCCCCTAGTAGCGTCCGTGCTCCTAGTAGCGATGCCCTTGGCTTTAACGAGATTGCACATTTGTGAGTGCAAGGCCTAAAGCCTGTGAGGACAGTGTTTGAATCCTATGCAGTTGGCCTTGTTGCCTATTTCCTTCCTCTCGTTCCGCAGGATTTGGAAGTGCAGATGAAAGCAGACTTTGGCCAGGTAGCGGCAACGGGAATCACCACTGTGGCCACGGTTTTGGTATGGTATGACTCTTTTGTGTTTTTCCTTTGAGACTTGAGACCTTACTTTTTTGCTTTTGTCATTTTTTTCTTGGGAGGGTTGGGTAGACCTTGACATATAATTAATTATACAATTGCGTTAGACGTTAGTTCTTTCTTCCGTTCTTGTGGCTTCATTCCTACCAGATTGGCCGCGCACTTTCAAACAAGCTTGTCATGCGCTCAGTTGCTCAGTGCCTAGTTCGGACGTATTTTGCTCAGTGCCTAGTTCAGAAGTATTCAGAAGTGGCGAAGCGGTAAGATGTTGTAAGCATGCTGCAGTCAAGTGCAGTGTTTCTTCAATTGTTCTCGTCATGACTCCAGACATGAACACATGCAGGATGTGTTACAAACACAAATCAGCTGCATTATTATATAACACATACCGTAAATTAAACACGTCACATATGTAGTATATATACTGGTTTGCATAGTCTATGTGGGATCATTCTGGAGATGCTGTAAAGGGTCGCTGTTTGACATTGGTTGTATGCCGTTTCTGTTAACTTGCGGAGGTTTTGTTCATTGGCATTCCGTCCGGAGTGTTGAACTTAGACTTGGACTTGCCATGACTTGCCATGACTTGCCACTTGGAAGGGATATCAGAGGGCAGATGCCTGTTGGCAGTATCTGCTTCATGACAGCCTTGTTTACGCTTGCTCGTCTCAGTTCATGATTATTGGTTTGGTTATGGCTGGCGCCATCTACAGCGTCCGAAGACGCGCCGACCACAGCTTCTACAGAGGTCCCTAGAGGATCAGCCTGAATCATCGGGCCAATGAGTTGGTTCAGATCTGAGGGGTGCGCGCGAACACCGCGCGTGGCAGACTCTTCCTTAGGCCGGGTGAAAGTAACGCCATGTAGTTTATGAACTCAAAGTGTGAGAGTGGCCAGTTGTTTTTGCACGTCAGGGAGGAGGAAATGGAAGGTACGGCGCTCAAACGAGATTGTTTCATTTCAATGTTTGTGTTCGCAGGGTTCAGCTGCATTTGGCCATTAGGCAGTCAATGTAGACGATGGTTTGGGTGAGATCCAGTATTCAAGACAATTGAGCAGCTCAATTGCTCATTAAAAAAAGGCAGATATTCAGTTGGAGCTTGTTGGCAAAGGATTGGGCTGGGAGACACACGACGATTGCATTGAGGAGTGAGTTTTTTTCTGCGTAATAGCGCAATCCCGTAGCACTAGTGTGGTAGGCAGATGTTATGCAACGACTGATAGTGTCACAGAGATTCCTGACGCCAACCAAAGAACCAAGTAAACAACCAGCAAAGGAACCGTCAATCTCGTCAGGATTCTTCGATTGGCCAAAAATGCCATAGATAGGTTTTTGAGCATGTGGGCTCAGTATGTGTGGTGATTTTCTTTGGCACTTGACGACGGTATATATTTACAAACAATCATTTTGTTGACACTGATGTGTTCCCAATGCTTGTTCCAAATGCCACCAGGCAGACAGAAACTGCATATTGTGGGTATCGATGGGTTAAATTGAGCCATGCCGACCTGCATGCCAATTGGCCGGAAAATGCATTTGTCGCATAGATGACACTGCAATTTCCCAGTGAGTAGTCAGGCACACAGGTGCCTCACGGCCTTTTTTTCTGGACCGGCTGCAAGTCAAGATGGCCAGAGAGCAGTTCATAAAGTTCATAGGTTATCAATGTTCACTAAAGTTTGAAGTGTGTTATTCCTCATTTACATAAGGAGTGTGATCACCATACTACCCTCGAAACTTACATGTCAACTTTCGATGCGTGCAGTGTCGGCAAGGGCCGTTGCAAGTATTCTGCCCCTGCTGGGTTAGCCAAATGCAGTTTCTGGTGCTACTACTGCTACTGCTGCTGTTGCCGCCGCTGCAGCTGCTGATACAGGAGCTCTTCATTGAGCGACCAAGTGTACCGCCTCTCACTGCAATTGTTAGCAACCAACTGAGCAGCAGCATAATAGTTGAAGCGATCAAAGGGCTAGCACACTTGGCTGGCCATGTGTGCATTCAAAACTGTGGGAGTAGGACAAAGGACAGGAAGAGGTGCGCTCAGGTTCATATTGAATCATATTGAAGTCGTATGAAGTCCTTTGTCGAATTGTCTTTAAAGAGTCCTTTCTGCTAGCTCCTATGTTTTGTTTTGTTTGATTTCTTGTTTCCTCAGGATTTTGAAGCAATTAATGGACCGAGCTTCACTCAGTTTTGTGGATACCACTGCTGAAGACACCTAAAATCCTTGAGGAGGAGGGGAATTGAATTTGTGATATGTTGTGTTTATTACTCGAGGCCCCACCTTACTGCAGTAGCGGAACTTGACCTGACAAGCAGCACTGGCGGGCTGCACTACAATTTTCACACAATCATACACAATCCCATTAAACACTTCACTTGCAGTTCACTTAGACTTCACACAGGCAAGTTCCAGGGTGATGTGGACTGCCTTTGGGTTCATTGCTTGGGGCTATGTTTGCATGAGGTTGAAAAGGAATTACATGAATCAAGACTGAATTACGAGCCATAAAATGGCAAAGACTTACATATATAGGAGGCTGTAAAGTACAAGATATAAGTAAAAAGCACCGGGGACAATATCCCGAGAGGAAGCAACTTTGCCGATTTGGCATTGTTTTGCAACAACTTTCTAAAATGTCACACTTGCGTGGACTATACCATATAACATCCAACATATCCAACTTTGACAGCGGCTACCTGCACTCCCTTCTGAAAGTGGGCCTTTATACGGTTTTGGACACGCAGACGGTCCGGTCACTTGGACACCTTGATTCTTGCAACATCAGAGTACTGAGTCCAGGGGGGAGAAAAAGGCAACGCTGACGCAGCGGTGATTGGTGGTTCCGCGCAAAACTAGATGCCTACAAAGTTGAGTGCCTAGCGACCATTGCGGTCATGGGAAGCGTGTAGTGTGGAAGTTTGGTTGGGCTCTCCAGCAAGCATGATGGTTCATCATTTGCAGCATATTTCTCAAAGACATATGCAGAGAGGAGACGGAACAATGGCTATCAATAACATCAATTTGGGACTAGGTACACGTCTTTATATGCCTCAGTGCATGTAAAAACGGTTTTCGTCGCATATCCTGGATGACCATTCCCCTTCCTTTCAGACCTGAAGTAGCAAGATGCAACAGGTGCTTTTGCTTGGCTATAGCCAGCTCTGACTCGCACACCTCCAGACTATTGTCGTATCTAATCAAAGACCTACTCTGATTGTTGATTATAATTAATTACTGTAGTAAGTGTTTCATTTCTGGATTGTTTGAAAACTGTATTTTATCAATGCAGACCAGCATGTTTTGCGCCCGGAATTCCAGAGTTCTCGTTGCGAAATGGAGAGACACACAAACCTATGTACATATCTATATATCTACATAAGTATATATATATACAATATAACTTGTAGAAGTTCTATTTCATTGTTATGTTGTTCTATTGCATGTAGGCAGACATACATATACTGTATATGCACATGATCTTGCAATCAAGTGAATATGGAACACCTGTCAGAGTCTTTGCACCTGTTCCGTCAGCACACAGAATACATGCGACCAGAGGGGTTGGTGGCTTCAGGATTTTGTTTTTCTACTAGGGGCTCCTGGCATCGCTACTAGGAACAAGAAGCTACTATTGGCAGCCGCCTTGCCACCATCTCCACTCACCCAACCCATCAAAAGCCTGTGTGAAATGCTCCGCATGGGGTGATAGTGAAGATGATTGCGGAGAGCATATGGAATAGCTTCATGGCCAGCAGCATATATATATATATATTATAGATTCTCGAATTAATTCAGGTATATTATATATATATACATCGTTTCATTTCTTGCCATTGCTTGCATGGACCTAAGCTTAATATAATATCGTACACTTCCAACTGTTCAGGTCCTTTGGTTTTGGGCCCCATCAGTTAGGTTCTGCAGTCTACACAGACTTCCCGGACTATGATTGCCGGTGGGCAGGGCCCATCGCCAGCTTCTCAGGAGTTCATTTTTGGAAAGAATTTGAGACAATGGCACCAGAGGGCGCGCTCAGCCCCTGTGGAGGCATATTCAACAGAAACATGGTCACACCTCCGAGAGCAGCTGCGGGAAGGCCTAGACAGATCAAGACGGTAGAACGTGCCCATGAACTCTTGAATTTTCTCAGTGCATGGAGTGACCTTTAATCATTGAATCAATCAAATTCCACCTTGTGTCCGCAGTTTCTAAAGCGGAAAAGAACGCTTTGGCTGTCTCCACCATGCCATGGTGGGGGTGCCGCCTTGGAGATCCATGGAGTTATTAGAGTACAAGCGGCAAGCACAGAGGACACAGAGACGTGAAGATCCGCCTCATGAGTTACGCGATCTTTGGGTTTGGTTGGTGACTCGTTGGCAAAGCATTGCTCGTGGACTCAGCGCTTGTGGCCTCCTGGCTTTAAAGCAGTTCGGAGAGTCAGACCTGAAGCATCTTTGGCAGTTTGCTCGTGGAGGTTCCAGCCAGGATTTCAATCACTTCTTGCAGGCATTGGCACCAAACTTCTGCCCCCATTCGCAACAGCTCCCACGGGGCCGCCTTCTAGAAGCATGTGCAGATTGTGCGCCACGGATCACTTTCCGGCATTGGTCAAACACACTTCTGTTGGCATACGACAAGCTGCCAGACTTGGCCATCACATTTTGCAGTGGAGGGACCCGGTTCGCTGGAGACCATGGTGGCATGCTTCTTGAGGGATTTGTTCGAGAAGAAGATTTTATTGAAGTCTTGGCTTTGCAAGAGGTTTGCGGCGACGATGCCAATTCGTGGCTTGAAGCACTGCACAGCTGTGAAGCTACTCCAAAAAAGGTTTTGGATCTTGAGCTTTTGACCAAGCGCATTATTGACCAACGCATAGGTGTGGGTGGAGAAGCATACTTCGGTCCAGATGACTATGACAGGCCTTCCGATTGCATGCCCCTTGAGGACATTGCAGTGCGCCTCGTGCATTCCTTTGGCGATTTGACCCTCGCCTTCAACCTTTTGCCAAAGGCAAGCCAAGTAAACCAAGCACAGAGCAAGGTGCGAAGCTTGAGCCCTCAAATGCGTGCAAAGGCCCCCTCTGGTGCACACCGGCCCCGCAAGGCTGACATTGGAGCCCAGGCACGGCAGACGGCAAAAGAGCTAAAAGAGCCAGAGGTCTATGCACTCACTGAGCGGCAATGGTTTCATGCTCTTCGTGGCTCAACTGACAAGAGGCTTTTCAGCGATTTGGATGCCAGGGCTGAAGCAGCGCGCCAAGTGGCATGGCAGACGCAGCGAGCTGCGGTGCAGGCAGCATTAGACGTGCAGATCAGACCAATGGGCCCAATTCAGGAAATGCATTTTGCTCTTCAGAGTCTATTTCCAAATCTTTCAGAACGTCTTTGCATCGCAAAGACCGCATTTCAACCGTTTGAGGCTATGTTGGTCCGAGCTTCTTTAACCCCTCAAGGCTTCTTTGGGCATCGCTTTGCACGCCCTACATCTTCATCTGCACGGCACTTTATCAGTGGTGATGTGACTGCCTTGTGTGGATCTAAGCCGTTTGTGGCAATCGTTCCTTTGGGAAGCGAGCAGGCGCTTGCTAACGGGGAGGAGGTGATGGAATACCAAGCGTGCTTAGAAGCTGCGACTGCAGGCACTGCCATTGCAATGCTGAGAGCTCCAGGCAGGGTGGTGCAAAGAATGGTTCAACATCCGAAGTCGTTCGAAGGTGTCTATCCCATGTGGATGCCCACGAGATCCATTTTGTTGGTAGATTTTGAATGATTTTGACATATTGTGACTTTGGCACTTGATAACTTGCCAGTGAATGGATGCCGTGTGGAATGGATGAATGCAAAAAAGCAGAGTGAGTATCCAGCCCTTCCTTGTGCATTAAAGATAATAGGGGCCTTTGCAGAACGTTGATTCTTGCAAATACATGCACGACAACGCACATATTGGACGACTGGTGGGTGATGCTCTAAAGCTTGTTCGATCTTGTTGGCAACGTGGCCATGGATCAATACATGTAGCTACACATGCCACGGCAGAAAGCAGGGTCGTTTTTGCTACATGCTCCTTTGCCTGGGAACTTTATATATATATATATTTTTAGTATAAATATATCTTATATATATATTTTTTTAAATGTTAATGTATGTCTATATATATTATTCAATTTACACATAAGTACGCGCATATAGTATGTATATACACGTGTAGCAAGAATGTTGGCGAGTCGGACTCAGATACCCACAAGAAAGCTCACCTCCCATTCATGACACTGCTTTTAATTTGTTTGGAGTTAGGCATCAATTCTTTAGGATACGATGGGTTCAATGAGTTCAGTGACAATTTTCTTAAATGGTGTGCACAACCTCACTTCATATTTGAAGCTTCGCATACCTGAGCTGATTTGTATGTACATGTTCATGGATTGTTGGAAGGTGTTCATGGATTTTAGGAAGATGCACCCACACGTTGCTGTTCTCATGTTACATCCGAATGAATTTGACCAGGCAGCTGTGGAGCACATGATGGAGCCTGGGCCTTGCAGCTGTGTGCTTCAGAGGATGGCAGGAGCGTGATTGGCACTGTGGGCCCCCCATTGGCGTTCCGTGTTTATCCACGAAGGCCAGGTCGCCCCAGTGCGCCTTACCTGATTTCCACTGGGACCTCAGTCGCTGGCTGCTTTCTGGTGGTTGCATGGCGGGAACCCTTAGACGAGGGTGGTGCACCTGTGTTGGGCCACGACCTACGACTCTGGGAGCAAGAACGCTTCATGCAAGGTGAGGAACCTTTGGTTTTTAGTGGTCACGATGTCTGGCCAGAGTATCACATGGAGGGCGTTGAGCCTGGAATTGCCTATGTTCTACAAGTGCGCTGTCACAATGCAGCTGGTACCTCAGAGTGGAGCACTATGTCGGACCCATTGATCACAGCACTGAAGCCCCCTTCCGAATTGGAAAAGCCTGAGGTGGTAGATGCAGGTTTGGGCTTTGTGACCTTGCAGTGGGGCACTTCAGAAGTAGAAGTCGATTCCTATGAGATTTGCGTGGAGCCTTTGACTAGTGGTGAAGAGCCCTGGCTTTTCACGGTGGAGCCACCTGAGGCCGATGGCTCGAAGTGCATATCTTTGAAAGGCACGAAAACAGAGGCAACTGTGCAGGGACTTCATCCTCGTCAGATGTATAGATTCCGGGTGCGAGGCTCTCGCAAAGCAGAGCCAGGGCCATGGTCCAATGGAACTGAACAAGTTTACACGAGCAGCCTTTGTGCACCTGTAGCCTCACCATCGGCACCAAGACAAGTGGAAGTTTGGAAGGAAGGCATGATTTTGACCTGGGATGCACCAGATTGTGAAGTTGCTCGCTACCTTGTGAAGGGAAAGGCAGAAGGGCAAAGAGCCGGTGCACCACCAGAGGTTTTGCAGGTTCAGACAGCCGATGCGTCTACGCGACTCACGATCCAGGGTTTGCGGGGCAATACTTCTTACACTTTCCGAGTTTTCGCTTTGACATCTAGTGGCCTTTCAGAACCCTCTGAACCTGCAACGCTTCGCACTGGTGCCCAACAACCTCGACCTCCGAAGTCACTTGCTGTGGCTCATGCAGAGCAGACCGAGGTGAGTCTGCGGTGGGAGCCTCCAGTAGACGACGGTGGCACCCCGATAGAAAAATACATTCTTGAAGTGGTGGACGGCAACAGTCCGACTGAGAGAATGGTGAAGGAATTTGAAGCTGACGAACGAGAAGGCACAGTTGAGGGACTACAAGGCAATCAGCGCTACTTCTTCCGTTTGTGTGCAAAGAGTAGAGCTGGAGTCTCCCGCTTCATTGAGCTGCTTGCAACATCAGGACCCGTGATTCCCGGAATGCCTGGGGTGCCAAGGCTCTTGGGAGATGCCACAGCCACGTCCATGACCTTGGCCTGGTCACCGCCATTGGACACGGGGGGGAGCGGCATCCTGGCTTATTCCCTCCAGGGTGTCTTGTGTGATAGTGACACAGACTACTACGCTCTTGATGTCACCGGCACCAAGGGTACTATCCAAGGTCTTCAGCCAGAACGGCGCTACAAGTTTCGAGTTTGTGCAAGGAATGCCGCCGGTGTGGGCCACCTTTCCGAGTGGTCAGCCATTGTGCGCACGGCCCCGAGACCGCCAGGGAAGCCACCAAGACCAACGGCCACAGCTGCCAGCTCTACAAGCGTGGAAGTCACCTGGGGTGAGGCACTATTGGAAGAAACAGCCATGCCTCCGGTGCTTTGGGAGGTCGCCACTGAGCTCCAAAGTGAGTTCCAAGGAGCATCCCCAGGAGCAAATGCAACGCTCTGGCGATGCAAGGCGGCCCCTGTGCTGGTGAAATCTTTAGCTCGCTTTACATCATACGTTTTCAGAGTTCGTGCCATGGGGGAGGGAGGCTGGTCTGATTGGTCAGAACCTTCTGAAGCCATAGCCACCTCCAGTGATTGGACTGATGAAGAAATTGTGGATTTCCTTCTGCCAAAGTTCGGAGGGTCCTTGGCAAATGTATTCCGTGGCCTGGATACCAACTGTGATGGTTTTATCCGGGAAGAAGATTTGTATCGTGGCCTCTTGCACTTGGGTTTGTCAGAGCTCTCGGAGGAGCGAGTGAGTCAACTCTTTGCATCTTTGGATGTGCCCAACCGCGGGATGGTCACACTGAGAGATTTCTCAAAGTGTTTGTCACGTGCCGCAGCACCACAGCGCTCGTCGCCACAATCAAGAGCAAGAAGCCCTTGTCAAGTGCAAGGCAGCCCCAACCGTAGCCCTGCTCGTAACTTCGGCATGAAACCTCAACGATCTTTATCTCCACCTATGACCCTCACACGCGCGGAGAAAGCTTCCTTCGAGCTCACTTATGTAAGTCCCAACCATTGCTGAAGTAAGCTGACGTGAGACTGTCGGCAAATGTCAAGCTCCTGAGGCAATCGCGAGATCAACAATTTGTGAATGAAGTTGAATGAATTTGAATGGTAAATGCATTTTGTTTGTCAATTGTTCCAAGAGGCTGATGAACATCAGGTTTTGCTCGACGAGTGTGCACCACTTTCCTTCCACAAGCGAAGCTCAAGATGTGGACATCGCCGGGTGTAGTAAATGCATGTCGAAGCGTATCGAAGCGTGGTTTGTTTTAACCGTCTTCCGCAAAGCATGTGCCCATATGTCCCCCATGTTGTTATCACGAGTTGAAGATCACCAGCACATGCAACTCTGAGCTCTTTGATCAACATATATATAATTACAGTAACATATATAAGATTTTTGTGTAGCCTTTTTTGACCATAGAGGCGGGCCCATGTTCTCCCCTTCGGCCTTGGCTTTGTCCAAACTCGCTGTGGAGCAGGACATGCCCGATGTTGCCAGCAATGTCATTCACTGGTTACGATTTCAGATGAATACAGCCGGTATTGAAGACTATAACTTTAATTATGCACCCCAACCTTAGGACATTTATCAGGTCACATACAGAGTTCGAGAATTGATTTTCCTGCATTGATTTTCCAAATTCCTGAAACGCGCTGAGGTGTACTCCTCTAAAAAGTTTTTAGAACATTGACCCAGGAAACTGGGGGCCAGAATAAGTTTCAATAATTGGGGGTCCCAGTAGCTGGTCTAGAAGAGTCTAGAATAGTGATGTATGTTGGATTTCTGACTCTAGAGGTGATAATTGAACAAAAGCGGGGGGGCCAAGGTTTCGGGAGTGACACACTCAACCTTAATTAACGGACATATATACTTTTCTATTACTTGCAAGTGCACACTGATTTGCTCAGGTCCCCAGATTAATCAAAACAATATAAAGCAATTGATCCAGGGGCAGTGTCACGACTCCTGCACCAATCCAGTTACTGTATCTTTATTTGTTGTTTTATTTATATTTTTAAAATGTATATATTAAAACTATTTTGATACATTTTATTACTGTATATAATATATATATATAGATAGATAGAGGGATGGTTTGTTTGTTTCCCCGGTGTGGCTTGTTTCCCCGGTGACAGTGTGTGCCTCGCACCTTTCCTTGAAGGACGATGGTGTTTGCCAACTGGGCCGCTTGTCCGCATGCTGGGCGCTGCATGTGGCTGGTGTATCGCAATGTGAGCGCACTGAGGAGGCCGGACGGATGCTGTCTCCCTTGGATGTTTTTTGCTTTGCCTTCTACCGCTAGAAACCTTATTTTGGCATTGGAACATAGCAGACCCACTACGGGGGGAAGCAAGGTGTCAATCAAGAAGACCGTTGAGGCAGGGAGGCGCATCAAAAAAAAGAATACAGTAACAATGCATCAACAAAAAAACAGAAAGAAACGAGCAAAGGAAGAAAGGAAGGAAGGAAGGAACGAAGCAAGAAAGGAAGAGGAAGGAAGGAAGGAAGGTAGCTAGGTAGGCAGGTAGGTAGGTTGGCAGGAACGAAGCAAGCAAGGAAGGAAGGAAGGGCTAGCGGGAGGAAGGAAGGAAGGAAGGAAGGAAGGCAGTGAAATTGAAATGCGATGTTGCAAAACTTTGCCCAGATGCCTAGCAGAGACCATTGCAGTTATCAAAGGAAGATTCATTGGGGAAACTCCATGATATTTGTTTTTTGGTCGTGCCAAGTTACATTGCGCCCTCCCCCGCGCCCCCTCCCGCTTTTAATTGTTGAGCGTTTTCATTTCATTCATTTCATTCGTTCATTGACTCATTCTTTCTTCCTTCTTTCATGTTCATTTTCATTTCATGTGATTTTCCTGTTTGTTTTGTTTCTTTTGATCACTGCTTCGAATGGAATATTGCTCTTCCCTCTGCACGATTGGGTCCGTTTGTTTTTTGTTTTTCTTGATCACACTGAAATATACAGTACTTACTTTTTGATTCATTTTCGCTTTTTTGTCGATCCCCCGCCCGTTAATGGAATATTGCTCTTCCCTCTTGATTCCTTTTTCTTGATCCCCTGAAATATAGTTATGTTTTGATTTATTTTTGTTTTTTTTTGATCCCTCGCCGTTGCGGCAGGTGTTCCCTCTTTTGCCAGCTCTTGGCAGTCGGTGGCCACTGCTCCGTTTCCTAAGCAGAGTTCACCGTGCATCGAATTGATTGTTGGGCTCTGATGAATGACTTCTCAATCAGGTAGTTGCTGTCAAGTGTAGAGTGTAGAAACATGCTAAGTACAAGAGGCCCGCTGCAAAGTGTAAAATTGAAAGTGCTCGATGTACGGTGCTAGACTTTGAAGAAGGTCTACTGGAAAGGGAGGACTCTTTGTGCTTGTGTTGGTTCGGATGTGATGTTTTTGTGTCCCTTTGTTTTGATCATGTTCGCTGATGTAGGTACTTGGCTGCGGGCTGGAAATAAATGGTCTTGCAGCGAACTCTTTCATCCCTCTATCAGCTGGGAACCTTGCCCCAACGGAGTCGAATGATGTATATTATGGGCACTATGAACCAGTCCACTCAGTAAGCAAACACTATCTCCGATAAATGACGCTTCCAACTGGCCTGCAGTATCCTGCAGTTACAGTCTAGGGCCTACGAGAGAATCACACAGGACGGCAAATGGAGGGGTGGAAGCCTTTTGACTTTGAGCATCAAGCTTCGTTGACCTGATCAGACATTGCATGCAAGGATTATTTTCATGAATTAGTTGATGCCGTCGCTTCACTGCAAAATTGGATATGACTGTCCGGTTCTCCTTGTTTGCCTCTTCGGTCATTTTGGTCGGGCTGCGCAGCTCCAGGTGGCTCTGGAAGAGTTTGATGAGGAGGACCCGCAGACATTGGTGTCCCGCGCCTTCGAAACTGCTGGGAATGAGGCCTTTGGATTCCAATTTAGAGAGAAATCTAGCCGGAAGAAAAGACACATGTCACACGTTGTGCAATGTGCAACAAGTTCGGATCACAGCTCAAAGATGGACATCAAAGCACTTGTCATGATTCCTGATTTGTGTTTGCTGTATGTGTGGGTGCGGAAGGCCACTGGCATTATTTGGAAATACTCTTCGTCGGCTTTGTACGAGCATGTTCCTGTTGCTGCGTGGACAGGGCAACCCGGATATGAACGAGAGTAACAAAGACGCCACTAGGTTGGAGAATTTGGGTGCTCTTTAGCACAGGACGTTTACGTAGCTTTGAGTTTGGGCAGATTCCGTTCGGACGGTCCCGAGGCGCTGTGCGCACGGTGTGGCGTCGGCATTCCTTTTCCGTGCTTGTGGCCTAATACTAGGCGGCCAAGCTGCCTAATCGTTTTATAGAGCTTGCACCAAATCTATCCGCTGAAGATGTGAGACCAGGTGATCAGGATGTCTTCAAGATGGTTGAGTCTGCCATGAGCCGGCTTGGGCGACGCGGGGAGATCAGGCCATGGATGGCACACAAGTTGAAACTGCTTGTTCGCACCGGCTTGTTCCACCGGCTTATTTGGTGCCAGCCTATCTGCACTGCCCAAGATGGGCCGTGCCTATGTTTACTCCTGTGCTCGTTTCAATGCTCCGGACTGAAGATGTGGCACCCAGGACAATAGATCTTCTGGACTCGAGATGGTCCTTGCAACTTGGCGGGAAAGCTTGCTTAGAGCGCGCCAGAGATGGCGGCATGAGCATCACAACTCTTGCCTGGTGAAAAATTGGTGTTGCTGAATTGTGAATATTTTTTTGCATGTTTGAAGTGCTTTCCCCATCTACCTGTCTATGTCAAAATCATGCCGTGTTGAATTCCTGAACTATATATATAACTAACCCTTACAACTTGATTTGCTTGAGCACATGTCTTTGTTCGGCGACTTTGGGACCCAAGGTTGCCGCTTCTTCATAGGTCACTTGATGGCAATGCATACAACATCATGAATTGGTCGATATATTGGGTTGCGTTGGTTCGCTTCAAGGATCCTGTGAATCTGGTGACCTTGTATGAGTTTGCTCCTCACAGCAATTGTCAAGGCTCCAGTCCGTCAAGAGGCGCTGGGATGATTTGGCAATTTCACCGGAGGAAGCTGGACCGAAAGCTGTGAGGGTCTACGTGTTAGTGTTGACACTTTTACCTCATTCCAAGGATTTGCAGCCATCATTGCCTCGACAGCAGCTTCTTCGGTTTTTGTCACCAACAGACCTTTGTCAAATGTTATAAGTTTTTATTTGAAATGTTTGTTCTACTGTTCTACTCATGTTTGTTCTACTCCTTGTGACGGTCAAAGCTTCAAAGCTGGAACTTTTTGAGACTTCTTTGGGCTCGCTGTGAGGCTAGAGAATTGGCGAGCAAACTGATGATGGGTGCTCCGGGGCCGGTCCTGACAGTTTTTGTGTCTGCTGCTCGTGTGCAATTTCTTGAACGTTATGTAGAGCATGCTCGGAGCATCTTGGCCAAAGGGGAATTTCGGGCAGGCATTGATTTGGTGACCGGATGTTCATTGCTTGAAATTTGCTTTTCTCAGCCGCTGTGGTCTGTTCTAAGGAATTGGCATCATGGGGCGGATGCTTATTTTGCCGCAGAACCCAGGCATCCATGAGATCTGCATAGCATTGGCAGATGCATGCCTGCCTGTACTGACACCAGGTTGCACAAAGGCACTGCATTCGCGGCATTCGCATTTTTCAGGCTAATGACCCTAAGGCTTATATAAACGATATGAATTATAAAGCACAAAAAACCGCCGTGCAGGTCTCAAAAGCTGCCAAGACAGAGGAAACAAGCTTGGCTCAGGTCAATATTTCCAGACTTGGCAAAATATACCTTGCTGGCTTTTGCTGCGCAGCTGAGCGTTGACATTCTGTTTTCAGATATGGAAGCTCGCCACTGTGTAGTTTGTTTATCTCAGCATCGCCGGCCTTGATGCAGCGAACAAACTCAAAAGACGGCACCTGATTTCTTCATTCGTCCCGAAGTTTGGAACAAACATGTACCTATATATAAGGACACCTATTGGGTTCAAAACCCTTTCCTGAAGCTGCTGAAGCACTCTGACCCTGGTCCAGATGCCTCTCGGCAAAGCTGGCAAAAGTATACGTGACGGTAATCAGATGATATCTTTCAACTTCAACGTGCATGGGAAGATTTTGATGTCATCCATTTTGAGGTCTACGTACCTCAAGAGTTCTACTCAGACCAGAGCCGACCGAGCATTATGCTGGTAAGATCATCGATGCTGGTCAGCGCAAAACCAAAGATTGCTGTAATCAAGGCAATGTGCAGAGAACAGTGGCTCCGGGCCGGCTGCTCCAAGGAATGTGCGCAGTAAGTATGCCATGGCGATCATGGCTACATGGCTGTTGAGATGGCCTTTCATCTCATCAAGTTATGGCAGCTGGGCTTCCAGTTCTGGTTTCATTTCATGTGGTCACTGGTGGTTTCACTGCCAGCATGTTCTTCTTGATGTGCTGCCAATCCAATTTGTTGGTTTTGCTTGATACCTTGGGCATGCTGGTAGGCAAGAAATGAATACTGTACATATAATATCAAATAATTACCACATTGACTGTAACTTAGTTATGTAATATATATATGTAATTTAATGTAATTTATATAGCTCTGATGGTTTTACATTGCAGCGGCTTCCAGGCTGTCTCGAGTCTCGAGTTGGACTTCTCCTTGTACTTTATGTACTTAGCTGCATTTTTACTTAGCAGTTTGGTTGAACAATCCATCCGCCAGACCATGGGCGTGAAGGGCTTCAATGAACCCAACAGACAACCCAACACGCGCCTCTCTAAATACCTGAGAAAGCAGTTTGTTTGCATCCTGCTCCTGGCTGGTTGTTTGTTTTTGGCGACCGACGGGGGACGTTAAATTGTTCTCCACATGCAAGGGTAGCTCCATCCATCCATATAGGTCCACACGTCGCCGCCGTTGGCGATTGCAGCGTAGAAACGGCGGCGGCACAATGCGGCATAACATTTAAGAACTAAAAGATCTAAAAGAGTTTGCACGAAGTATCCCTGTTGCCTTGCGAGCTTCCTGCATCTACTCAGGCAAGACATCGCTCAGTCAAGCCAAGTTTGCGGCATGATGCGGCATGTCATATGAAGAACCATGATGAACCTTGCACCCATCCTGGAATCGAGGTATGCGTCATCTCCTTGAACCAGAGAGGTCAGGTTATGTACCTTCAGTGTCCTTCCTGCGGCCGGACAGCTCAGAAGAGCGTGGGGAGCTGCAGACTGGCTTTTTAGATTCAGAGACTTGGCTCAGGCTCAGGGATGCCTAGAGCCTGTCTGTAACATTTCAGCGTGCCTTTGTCCTAGCTTTCGACGCCAAGTTTTCATATTAGGAGAACGAGTTTGTCACGATGGACGGCTGGTTTGGGAGCTTTGCAGACATTGTGGCTTTTGAAATGAGCCCGTTCCTGTCAGAGAGCTACAAGCAACCCGTGCCTTTTGCCTCAATGTTGCCTTTGACGCCAGCACAACCCAGGACTTAAACTATCGCATTTTGTGAGAAGTTAGCCGTCATATAGTTATTTGGACTAGTTGGTTTCCCTTGCAAAACATGAACATGTAACTGGGGCTTTGGACAACGAAAGTTTGCCACGTGCTGATGATGATGATGATGACGATGATGATGATGATGATGATGATGATGATGATGACGATGACGATGATGATTGATGATCCGTGAGGGAGATACCACGCGAAAATCCAAATCTGCGCACAAGGCTGACAGAGCTTTACAGCGACATCACAAAGGCTGAGCAGTTTCTTCTCTCGTTGCAGAAGCATTGGCCTTAGTCTGTCTCCAATGGGCGGATACCTGGGATGCTTTAGAAGTGCATGGGTGGTGTGCTTTCTTGCCTTCATAGCTTGGAAGGTGCCATAGCAAGGTTCATACCTTTAGACATTTTTAGACTCAGCTCAGCAGCTTGCTGCAGGTTTTCATTCTAACGATTGTTTGCATCCAGGCCAATGTCCCCCAAGCGGCCGATGGAAGAACTTCAGAGCAACCTCCATGCAAAGCCTGCACCTGTTCCAGAAGATGCTGACTAGATGCAAAATCGTGCAAATGACTAGTGGGTATCCCCAACAAGTAAACTAAACCATGTTTGAGCGTTTGGCCGAATATGATGAGAGTTATTTATGAAAGGGCAGTCGCAGATTGGTGCAAAAAGCAACTAGTAACTAATATGTTAATAGTATTTTTCCACGATTGCTTCCATTGGTGTTTGTTTTTTGGTCCATTGGAATATATATATATACACATACATATGTTACAGTATATGTTGTGTATTTTGTCGCGATTGCTTATTCCATTGGTATTTGTATTTTGCCAATTGGTATAAATTCATATATATATATTGTAAATTATATAGCATTAGTATATCCGTGATGCAGCAGTGTGGTTAGTCTACAGCTGAGGCTCGCATCATACACGTGAACTTTGCGGATGGCTGCTGCGAAGTTGAGCAAGCAAAGTCTTCCAGCACCGCTCAAGAGTTTGGAGTCGCGTAGCTGGTGAAATTGAGATGCGATTCAAGCATTCTCAAGCCAGTTTTCATGCTGATAGAACCCATGTGAATCCAGTCGGCGCAGACCATCCTTGCCGAATTTTTTGGGCAAGCTTCACAAACTCAGGCCAATGAATCCAGAGCACTGAATGGTAGCTTCTTGAGCGCTGAGTTCAGAGCTCGCAACCAGCATTTGCTGAATTGGGTGCGCAGTGGCTAGGCCAATGCCAAGCGTTCTGAGTAGCGTTAAATACACACCTCGGCCAGGCCAGGCCGATATGTGAATCTGAGTATACAGACTTGCTCCTTTATTTGATTCTGTGATGCCAACTCCAGATAATGAACCCCCCCACATGGAAGGAGGTCAACCAGATCAACCAGGTCTGAGGTACCATTCATGGGTCCACTCCCCATGAATAATCTACCAACCTACTCAAGAAAGTAGTAGTAGTAGTAGTAGGAGTAGGAGTAGGAGTAGGAGTAGTAGTAGTAGTAGTAGTAGTAGTGATAGTGATAGTGATAGTGATAGTGAGTAGATAGTACGTAGTAGGGAGTAGGAGGTAGGAGGGAGGAGGAGTAGGAGGAGTAGTAGTAGTAGCAGTTAGCAGTAGTAGCAGTAGCAGTAGCAGTATTATTTAGCAGCAGCAGTGGCAGTGGTAGTGGGAGTGGTAGCAGGAGTAGCTGCTTTAGTTGTAGTCGCAACAAGTTCAAACAACTACAAACAAGGCCAGGGACACACGATCAAATTTATAGGGGTTAGCAGTGCAGATTATTGAGTGGGACAAGCCCTTGTGAGGGGTATCCTTTGTTAGCTTCTCAAATAATTGTTATTAAAACATATTTGATTTAAACATTTTAAAATATTAAATTTGTAGGGCCTGAGCCCTAGATAATTTCTGGAATAGTACTTTAAATAGAAAGTCCGTAGTAGTAGTAGGTGGTGGTGGTGGTGGTAGCAATTTGACCTGGTTGTGGGGCTCGGATTAATAGCGCCCAACAACCTTATTCAGGCAACTAGCAACCAATAATACTTTGAATTTGGTCCATTTCCGGGACTTTGTGGGCTCGGATTTGCTATTTTTATCATTACCTGTCGTCGTTTCGGGCCGAGGCAGTGAGATGACTTACGGCAAGACACCGTCTGGCAAAGTGGGTTACTATGTCAGCGACTCAGAATAGAATCAAGCGTTGCATGCATTGCCAGAACCTCTCAACTCTGATTGGATTGGATCCTGACTGATCCTTGCATTGTTTGCCATAGGCGTACTTGCTACCCAAGATGCCTGCAACTGCTTTTCAAATTTTATTGCGCAGTCAGATGTGAGTGTCCACTCAGTAAGGTTTGGAAGCCGTACGTGATTCTGGAAACACTGAAGGATCCAGTGATTCGTTGGAACGATATTGTGGCTTGAACCGCTTCAGCATTGACACTGATTGTTCATCTATGTTCAGTTTGCTTCGCAACGTCGCACTTGGCTGGCATAGATTGACTTGGCTGTGACTCAAACAGCCAGCATGCAACAAGTCTTGCTTGCATTGATCTAAGTTTAGACATTTCGATTAAAATTGTAGCCGAGGTCCTTTGGACTGATGCTGGGGTGCACTTCATTCAACCGTTCCCTTGCTTCCCATTGCTTCCCCGAGTCTTTGTGATTTGGGAATCGTATGTGACTTTTTCAGATCTTAGGCTGCGTCCTTTGGTTCACGAGTATCTCGCCCAGAGTGATGTGTCAGCAACATCCTCAGTGGCCTGGGTTGATGCTGACTGCGAAGCTTTTTCACAGTGACCTGTACAAGCTCAGTCTTTCGCTCTGCATTCATGATCTCAAGCGAACTGCCCATCCTGCACGTGAGGCAACCCAAACTCCTATGTTAGAAGCAGACGTTACCAAGCGGGAAGCTTCGGCCAAGTCTTGCTTGCTGTTGGCTGCGCACTGACCGGGAACGCCTTTTAATTGATACATAGACAATCAAAACAGGTGAGAGCACATTCATCACAAAACAATAGTGACCAGATGTGACCAGTGGCCCTCTGATTTCCTCATTGGTCCTTCGGTTTTCCTCATTTGTTTGGTTCGCCTGCTTCTCTTCTGACTGGTCTGACTTTCTGGCCTTAAACCTGATCCAACACTCCACTCAGCTTCCTCCCCCATAGTCATTTTTTCAAGCATTTTCCAGCCGAAGCCAAGTGCGGAAGTCCAATTCACCCGTTATATAAGTCCTTGCTTGTTTCCTTTGGACTTTAGACCCAAGCCCTCGTAAATCTACAAAGTGCTACAGCGCTTGCAACCAAATGTGTGTTGTCAAGGTGCTAGCTGCTAGCAGTCACGAGCATGCCATGAACTCACACTGGGGACAAAACGGGAGGTTGTTATTTGTTGTTCTACTTTTCCTTTGATCGCCTTTTTTTGTTGTTGTTGTTTGTTCTGAAGATATCATGTGAAACATAAATAACTATATACACACATTGTTCGTTGGTTGTGATGTTTCACCCGCCGACCGGTTTGTTTTCTGGGTTGTTTGCAAGCACGCAAAGAGACCTGGCCACCTGGTGTGTGAAAATCCTAGGATGCCTTTGTTCTCTTAGATGCTGACTATGCCGCTGCGCAGCACTCATATTTCTGTGCGGGACTTCTTAGCTAACTTACAATCAGATTCCAGTCAGTATGCAGTATGCAGTACAACTTTGTGCGTGGTTTGATCAGTGTGATTCCTGGTTCGATTCCATGATTTGAGGAAAGCATTGTTCGAACAAACCAAGTTGCGACAGGACTAGACTGCGGTCAAAGTCTCATAGCAAGCGCGTTGTTTCAATGCTTGTCACAGTGACTTGATTCAGAGTATTGACTTTCAGATCAACATAGCTGAACATCATGGGGTATAAATCAAGAGAGAGGCAACATGGGAACCAGAGGAATCATTTTGGTCCGCAAGACGCCGCTGTCAATCCGGTTTATGGAGAATTGGCTTTCAGCCTGCGAAGATGACAGAGTTATCACAGAAACGCCTTCCGTTTCTTGGCTGCTTGTTGCTGTGATGTTACGACAAGTTTAAACTGTTTAAACTCAAAACCCCTGCGCCTGACGTGTTACAGAAGACCGGTCCGGCAGCTGGTTCAAAACTGCGTTAATTTTTGAGATCACGATAAGAATGAACAGACACAATTGGAGCATAGTTTGCATTGCATGAACTTGGATGTGGAACCTTATTCATTCGAATTGTTCCTTGTCATGTTAAGTTTGTGTTGATCTTTCAGGGTGCCTCGGAACCGGTTTGGAACCATGGCCTCAAAACCGGAAAAGGAAAAGGAAACAGGTCCGCAGAACGCAAAAACAAACGACAAACTGGTGAGAACCTGTCCACTTTGACGTCAGCATGGCCACAGTTTTTGCAGTGAGAGTGAGAGTTGCTGCCAAGTGAGCTTGAGTTTTGAAACTACTTTGGGATGAATTTGCAGGTTGACAGTCAGTCACATGAGTCACATGCTACCAAGAGTGTTGAAAGCAACTTGAGATGTTGCACATTTCCGAAGCCCTGCTAAGAGCAATACCTTCTGGGACTGTTTTTTAGAGGCTCCCAAGGTAGAGGCTATGGCAGCTCAGGGTGGCTGGAGGGATAAATTGCAGGTGCTCGGCCTTCCAGAGTATCCACAATTCCGACATCACAATGATGACCAGTCCGCGTTCTCCTTACTTTTCAAGACGCAAGTTGGCATTGCATGGTTTTGCTAAGCTTTACTAAGAATGCTGTGGCACTTGCAATGTGAAAAGCCGTGCAAAGCATGCAGCAACCAAAGGAAGTTGTTTGACAGCATTCTATTGCATTCATGATCGAATCGTATTTTATTTCATTTGCTTCACTTGTAGGTTTTGAGGAACAACACGCCAGCCAAGGAAGTATGGTTTTCAAGCATTTTTGCAAGCTGAACGGGACCTCTACGTAGTTGCTGCGCGCAACACTGCCAAGTTCGTTGCAGCCTCGCCACTTTGTCAGCAATGACGAGGGGCTTTCACGCGGCACATCCTGCGCAACCTGAAATGCAAGTGAGGCTTTTTTGTGGCACAAATTGATACCTGCACCTACTAAGGGATGCCTTTGCTTTGGGGAAGAGCTGCTCCCAGGACACCTGTTTGTTCAGAAAAATGCAAGAGGAAGTCTCAGAAATGGAACAAAAGGGAAGTGTAAGGCCTTACCTTCCTTTTCGTCAGTTCTTACTGTATATATATATATATAGATTGTTTACTTTAACTTCTACTTCCGGTAATGAAGGACCATTTTACTGTGAGACAGGTTCTGACGGTTTTGACGTCAAAGTCAGACTCCTGCCTATATTTATATAGTACTTGATATGGGATGATATGGGATGACCTCCAATACATTTCATGATGGCGCATTGGCGATGTTTCAAAAGCAGTGGACTGTTCTCTCTCAGGATGAGTATATCTCAGCGGCGAATGCAGCTGCAGGCTCATCAGAGGCTGAAAGCAAAAAGACATTGGCAGCCAGGGCACGCTCTCTGGCGGTTTCAAACCCTACTAGGAGCAAGGACGCTACTAGGGGACCCTGGCATCGCTACTAGGAACAAGAAGCTACTTTTTCGAGAAATCAAGCGGGGCAAGTCTTTGCATCGTGCGAAGCAGTTTCGGCCTGTGCTTGGTTGGGGATTTGTCCTGCAAGAAGCATCCATGGCGTGTGCTAAGCGGCACCCACAGAGGGCCCTCTTTACACTTTGTTTGGTGATCGCGTGGCAAATGCAACTTCTGCCCCAGAGACTTGCCTGCAGAATACTTTGATGAGACAGCCAAAACATGCATCAGAAGCACCCTGAGCAGAAATATATTATAGTAACGTAACATCCAGATAGTTTTACTATGCTTTACTGCCTGCCACGCTTTTCAGATTGTAGTAGGTTCCATTTCGTTGGCACCTACAACAAACGGCGCCAGCTCAAGCTGGAGCGCTCAGCAGTGTGTGCACAAGTGAAAGAACCTCCGGCAGAAGGCTGGACACACTTTTAAACTATTTTGAGCTCTTGAACGTTGCAGTTTTAGAGTGGAAAGCGTGCAGGAAGTCCTTCTTACACTATTTGCCCCATAAATTGTAAACGGCAACTGCATTCTTTCCTGAGCTGAATTATGCATCCTCACGCTCATGGAAGCCCGCCTGCTTGCTTGCCTGCCTGCCTGCCTGCTTGAGTTGATTGAATTTCGCTTGTGCAGCCAGCAGGAAGAGGGTTTCACAAATTGTCACAAAGGTTGCAGCGCACTGGACCCCCTTACGCCGCATATGATTTGAATGTGGAACTAGATCTGTGAGGTGACCGAGTCATAGTCGACGGAGACAATGGACCGATCGTGGCATGGCTGCATGTCGAGAGCACAGTTTGCAAGCACTCTTTGCATAATAAAAAACATGCTGAGTGTAGGGCATAGGGGCAGCGGACAAAGTGTTGTTTCTAGCTGCCTGCTGTTTTCACGTAAGGTGGCCCTTTAGGGGATACCTTGAGTTTGTCTTGCGAAGCAAGTGTTGGGACGTCCGGGTCTAATAATTGATCACTCAATTCAACCCCCCCCCCCCCCC